CAATCCCATATCACACCAGTTATCCCAAAAATTACCTCCACCATCTCCTTCAGCTGGACCCTTCTCCAGTTTGTTGTCCACGCTCCACACTGAAGGGCACTGACTAGCAAGCTGTAGAATGCGTCTGCTCAGCTGCCATCTGTGTGATGGCCTGTTGGTTGGGTTCGGGATACACATCTTTTTTTTTTTTTTTAATATTTATTTATTTATTTATTGTGTGTGTGTGTGTGTGTGTGTGTGTGTGGCCAGCTCAGCCCACCAGGGGGCGGGGCTGGCTGGCATGTGGTGCTGGGGGATTGAACCGCGGTCCCTGTGCTTTGCTTAGTTTAGCTTGTTCTAAGTAGGTGCTTTAGACCACTGAGCCATCTCACCAGCCCCCGGGATACACATCTTGGTCAGTGTGTAGAACAGGTACTGCGTTCTTTACATTTATCCCTTCAGAAGCACACAATTCTTGTTCATGCAGTTGTGGCATTGTTTAAGTTAATTAAAATAGGATGGACTATGATTTAGTCTATTTTGTGTTGCTGAAATGACCTGAGATAGGCTACTTATATGAAGAAAGAGATTTACTTAGTCCACAATTTTGGAGGTTGAAAGTTCAAACAGCATAGCACTGGCTCTGGCAATGGTTGCATGACAAATAGGTGAGGAAGGAAGAGTTTTATCTCTCAACAGGAGGACAGAGACTGACGTTTCTCAAGCATACCTGAGGGTTGGCCCCCAGTACCTTAGCATTGCCCAGGAGGGTCCACTTGGCGAGAGTCCTGCTACCTCCTGCATTATGCTGGGAACCAAGCCCTTAACACACGGGCCCTTGGAAGATAAACCACATGCAAATAAGTCTTCTTCATTATCAAATGGTACTTTTTTCTCTTTATTGAACACTATATGAGAATATACTTTGAGACTATGCAAGTATTCCTTGTCAAAATTTCTTCCACTAGTTTCTACATGTATTGCTTTCTTTCTCTGAGTTATTATCATGACAGTTGCCAAACAATGATTTTCAGTTTCAATATTATTGTATAAAAAGGCTTTATCTTTGCCTATTGTATCACTGAGGACTCATGGGTTCTCATTTTATTCAAAGAGATATAATACTTTCCTCTGATTCTTTTCTTTTCTTTTCTTTTTTTTTTTTTTTTTTTTTTTTTTTAGGGAAGGGTCTACAGGGTGTTCAGGGTCACTACTAGATAGTGATCCACCTGTTTACAGCCTCCTAAGAGCTGAGATTACAGGTGTGCACCACCACGCCCAGTCTTAATCGTGTCTCAGCACACCCCGGGGGCAGGGCCAGCAGGGCAGGCTGGATGACTAAACCTGGACTCCTGTGCCTGCTTGCAGGGGCTTTAATCCGCTGAGCTATTTGGCCAGCCCTGCTAAAAACTTTAGCATACAGGTCTGTGTGTGGACCTAAGTCTTCATGTCTCTAAACCAAAGTACTCACAAGTGTGGCTGCTGGCTTATAGGTTCACATGAAAAGAGTCTCCCTATGGAGTTCAGGCTGGCCTTGAACTCACTGTGTGGCCCAGGCTGGACATAAACTTTTTTTTTTTTTTTTTTTTTTTTTTTTTTTTTTGGCAGAACCAGGGATTGAACTCAGGCCCTTGTGCTTACCAGGCAAGCGCTTATTCTACTGAGTCATCTCCTCAGCCCCATGGGCATAAACTTTAAGGATTCCTCCTGCCTCAGCCTCCTGACTGCTGGGATTACAGGTGTGTGCCACCGCACCCAGAAACATGCTTCATTTTTAAGAAACTGCCAGACTGTCCTTCAGTGTGACTCTATCATCTCCTGTTGTCACCAGCCATTTGTGAGAAACCCAGCTGCTGTGTCTTCCTTATCCTTTGGGGTCACGTCTGCTCACTTCAGCCTGATATCATTTATATTTGCCTAAAGGTTGGTGACATAGAGTGTCTCAATTGCCATCTGTTTATGTTCTTTGATAAAAATGTCTGTTTCTTTTTTTTTTCTTTTCTTTTCTTTTTTTGGCAATACTGGGGACCAAACTCAAGGCCTTCACACTGAGCTATGTTCCCAGGCACTCCCTACTTTTTGAGAAAGATCTTCAGAAGTTGCTAAATTGCCCAGGAGACTGGGTTTAAATCTGTGATCCTCCTGCTTCATCTCCTAAGTGCTGGGATATAGGCTTGTGCCACCACTCCTGCCCCCTTTCTTTTTGAGTTTAGTGACATTTTTATTGGCTTGTAGTTCTATTTTCTGGAAATGAGCTGTTTTCAGTTACATGAATTACAGATACCTCTGCTCTCTGTTACCTGCCCTTTTCCTCTCTTGAAGATAAGGTATAAGGGAACAATTAAAATAATTTTGTGTTAATAATTACTAATATAGTTTTCTTTATGATTAGTGGGTTTTAAATCTTTGTTTAAAATTCCCTATTTTCTCATGCTTGTATTTAAAAAGCATTTCTAGGCCTGAGGAGATAGCTCAGAGGCATAGGCAACTGCCTGGCAAATGCAAGGTCCTGAGTTCGATCCCCGGTAAAGAAAGCAAGCAAGTCAGACAGACAGACAAACAGACATAAAAAAGCATTTCTTGGACTGGGGAGATAGCTCAGTAGAATAAGTGCTTGCCTGGTAAGCACAAGGTCCTAAGTTCAACTTCCAGTACCAGAAAAAAAAAAAAAAAGCATTTCTTGTCCGGGAGATAGCTCAGCAGAATAAGCGCTTGCCTGGCAAGTGCAGGGTCCTGAGTTCAATCCCCGGTAGTATAAAAATAAAATAAAATAAAATAAAATAAAATAAAATAAAATAAAATAAAATAAATAAAGCATTTCTTGTTTTTATCATTTAAAAACACTGGTAGAAGCCCTAGCTGAACACTGGACCATAGTAGCAATCCACCACAACCTGGGTTCTGGTGTATGTCTGATTCCTTTTATTTTTTATTTTTTTGGTGGAACTGGGGATTGAACTCAGATCCTTGCGTTTGCCAGTCAAGCGCTTATCCTGATTCCTTTTATAAAACAAGGATGAAGTTCCCTAGGACAGGTACTTCTGGCCCTTGAGAAAAGTGGCTGCCTCTGTGGTCTCTAAGAAGAGCTCCTGTAGGTCAGGATATGAGAAACCGTGGCTCTGTCTTTTCTATCAAAAGATATAAACAGCTAGGTATGGTGTAATACCTGCACTGGGAGCCTGAGGCAAGAGGATTTCTTTGAGTTCGAGGCGAGCCTGGGCTACATCTACATAGTGAGTTCAAGGCCAGCCTGAACTACATAGCAAGACCTTGTCTTAAAAATAACCAAACAGGGGCCAGGGAGATGGCTCAGTGGAATAAGCACTTGCCTAGCAAGGGCCTGAGTTCAATCCCTGGTTCCATCAAAAACAAAACAAAACAAACAAAAAAAAAAAACAGAAACAAAAAACGAAACAAAGAAAAATAAAAATAAAAAAAATAACCAACCAAACAAAAACCAACAGGAATGCCTCCATTTTAGACTCTAGTCTGCCCTACGTGGCCCCATCCCACTCTGATATTATGGAAAATGCCTAAATTATTTTGTTTTGTCTTGAAGCAGGGTCTTGCTATATAGTCCAGGTTGGCCTTTAATTTGCATGATCTTCCGGCCTCCACCTCCCCAAGAGCTGAGGTTACAGGCATGCAATACCACACCTATCTTGGAATACTTAAATTTTAGGAACATAGCTACAGACAGACCTAGGATAGTTTATCTTTTTTTTTTTTTCGTTTAGTTTTTTTTTTTTTTT